AGAAATATGTGGCTACATATTAACCCTTTGGGGTCCCATAGCTACATTGGCTGTGTTGTTCTGATCCCCAGGGGTACAGGAGTACAGGAACCACCTCGAGAAGTCAAGGGAAAACTCGAAAGGCCTTCCTCTGCCTCTGCCTGTCCTGTCAGTAGGAACAGTGCCCAGGTCAGGACTCAGGACATATCTGTATTCATCTTTAGCTCAAAGATTGGCCCTGTTCAGGTCACTCATTCCTTTGGGACTTAGTTACTCCTCAGTGAGATAAAGGCACTACAGCCGGCTATGGTAGCTGCTCAGAAATATAGGACAAATCCATTCTAGAGCATAAAGATCTCAGAGGCAAAAGCAAGATAATAACAACTCCCATTTCTGAATGTTGTGCCGAGCACGTGGTAAACATTTCGGCTTCATGCAGTCATGTAATGCTCACACCCTTGGAAAGAGGAATAATTATCCCCCACAAAACAAACCAGGAAGGTCATGATGTAACTCACAGACAGGGTTCAAACCCAAGCAAGACGATGATGGTGATTTCATCTTGTGTTGAACTGCCCATGAAGGAAAAGGCTGGACCCACCCTTGACAGCTAATGAGCTAAGAAAGTGAGCAGAGTTCCCTAGGAACTCACCAGTTTTGGGCGTGAATGGGCATGATCACAACAGCTTTTGCTATAGGCACAAATGCCCACCAGCAAGGAATGGGTACAGAAACAGGCATTTTCCTGATGGAATCCTACTCAGCAATGATAAGTGATGAGCTACAGACACGCTATTAATGCAGAGTAGATGAATCTCAATGGTACTCAGTGAAAGAAGCAGACCAAACAGCACATGCTGTGTAATCCCACTGAAAGGAACATCCTAGAAAATGTATGTAGTGAGCTGGGCATTGGTGGCGCACGCCTTTAATCCCAGCACTAGGGAGGCAGAGACAGACGGATCTCTGTGAGTTCGAGACCAGCCTGGTCTCCAGAGCGAGTGCCAGGACAGGCTCCAAAGCTACACAGAGAAACCCTGTCTAGGAAAACAAAATAAAACAAAACAAAAAAACCAGAAAATGTATGTAGTGAACCTAAAGTGTCAGAAAACAGGTCAGCGCTTACCTGGCAGAAGGAGCCATAGGGGCAGTAGATGGCACGAAAAGGTCAAGAGGGGCCGCAAAGGGGCACAAAGAAAGTCTTTTGGGTGGTCGGTATATATGTAAGGTATGACGGGTATATGCGTTTCTCAAGGCAAAGAGAACTGCTGTATGTGCTGGAGATGTGCAATTTACTCGGCTAATTTTATCTCAACAAAGCTTCTTTGTGTGTGGAGGTCCAAGGTCATCATCTAGTATCTTCCTTAATTGCTCGACACCCTTTCGGAGACAGTCTCTCACTGAACCGAGATCACCATGAGCCACAGGGACCCACCTGTTTCCCTTTCCTATCCCATCCCCCAAGCTGGGATTACCTACATGTGCCACAGTACTGGGCTTTTTACATGGGTGCTGGGAATCTAACCTCAACTCTTCATGGTTATCCAAGTGCTTTACCAATGGAGCCATTTCTCTAGCCCAATATAGCTGTTTTTCAAAGGTGACTTACTCCAATTTCTTCTTTGCACAGAGGTGCAGACTGACTTACAACTTTTCTGGGGTCATAGAGGCAGATCTCAACCCCTGAGGCCCTCTCTCCCCTGTATCACATGGAAAGGAACTCAAAGAGAGCCCCCCCCACACCCCGCCCAGTGGGTTGGGGGTAGTGACAGGGAAGTAGAAAATGTGGCCTCAAACAGGAGATGGGGGCAAGAAGAGCTTCAAGAGGTCAGTCAAGGCAAGCCAAGTGAGGCAAGGGAAGTAAACGGATGAACCCCAAACCTGGGGAAGAGCAGCAAGCTTCCAGAGGAACGAGCCCCTCCTCTATTGACAGCACTTTCTCCTCCGATGAGACCTGAAAGGCCACTCTTGTCCTTGAGTTATTGATTGTCTGTCTCCCTGGACACATCATTTCCTTGGCTGTAGTAGACATGTGTCTGGGCCAGGCCCCACCCAGCAAATGGCCAGCACTTAACACTTTACACTCTAGGTTAACCTTGAAGGTGCCAGCTCTCCAGAAATGCAGCCAGCCTGAGAATGTTACTAGGCAGTGGTGGATGCCAGTCCCTAGGCAGTATATGCTGGATCTCATGGGCCATTTTAGGAACAGTTCAAAGGCCCTTTTGATTGACAGTCAGTTGGCCTGAGGTGACATCACTCTTTAAAAGTTTGCCTGTGTCCTTCCTTAGTTCTGTGTTTTTTGAAACTTGGTCCAGTGGACAGAGAGATACATTGCCGTAAGCAGAGTGTCAGCAAGGTCAAGCAAGGGCGCACAGAAGTATGAAAAGACCTTTTTCTTTCTTCCCTCCTCTCTGTAATCTCCAAAGTAAGTTGGAGGACACAAATGGCAGGCTCAGACTGGGTGGAGCAAAGATTTTAAGTCAAAACCCAAATTAGAAAAAGCCCAGAGGGCCAGGTGGTGGTAGTGGTACACGCCTTTAATCCCAGCACCCAGGAGGCAGAGACAGGCAGATCTTTGAGTTCAAGGCCAGCCTGGTCTATAGAGTGAGTTCCAGGACAGCCAGAGCCCTACACAGAGAAGCCCTGTCTCTAAAAATAAAACAAAAAGAAAAGGCCCAGAGGAAGAGCCCCCCCCCCCCCCCCCCCCGCACCCCACAACCCCCCTCCGAGAAAGGGATGCTGGGGCCTGCCTTTCTAACATCAAATCCCCTGTTGTCAGTCTGAGTGTGTCTTTGCCCTTCCCCCACATAGAGGAGACTGAGAGCCAGGAACAAGCCTGTAACCCAAGCTCTCAGGAGACTGAGTTTGAAGCTGGGAAGTGCCACATAGCCAGACCTTGTCTCAAAAATCAAGACATGTGAAGCAAGCTTGTCTGAATTTGAACTATTAAAAAAAATTTAAAAATTAAAAAAAAATCAAATCAAAACAAAACAATCAGAATGCTTTGCAGAGAATAACCATCTTGGCGAGCTCTCACTCAGGTCATTTTGGGTGCTCAGAACAGGTGTGAACAGCTTTAAGACAAAGGCCAGGAGCAATAGCACTGTATGGAGAGGGTGTCACCTAGCATTATTGAGCTGTCAGCCCCAAGGCAAGAGTAGCATGTGCCTGGGATCAGAGATGCCAGGGGAGCAGGGATCAGTCTCTGAAACACCAGGTGGAGAATTCAGATCTCTTACACTGGTCTGAAGCAGGAGGCAGCTCAACACACATCCAAGATGGTCATGAGAGCTGTAAAGACCTGTAAGGGAGCTGGCCTGGTGCTGAAGAGGGCCATCACGGCTCAGCTCTCCCTAAAAGCTCAGGATTGTCCCCTTCAAGTCAGCTTCCTCCTGTCTTAGAGATATGGACCTCACACGCAGCATCTGATAGAACCAAAATGAGTACTTATTTTACCAAGCAGCATCAGCTCCTGCCTCCAGGTTCTTGCCCTGTCTGAGTTCCTGTCATGACTGCCACTAATGATGTATGGAAGTGATCTGAAAACATAAGCCAAATAAACCCTTTCCTCTCTGAGGTGCTCTGGTCATGGTGTTTCATCATAGCCACAGAAACCCTAACTAGGACATGGGCCCTTACATAGTTACATATATACCCTAAGGTTGAGCAGGATTAGACCTAAAGGGCAATGTGGAATCCCTGGCCCTCAGGTGACATAGCAGTCAGGGATTATGACTCAGTTCCCAAGTAATCTGGATCCCAAGGTTGCTCTAACAACTGCAGTGTGGCCATTTCTCTCCTTTACCAATACCAGGAAATGTGGCATGTAGCTCAGTGGTAGAACACTTTCTTAGCATGTACCAGGCCGTAGATTCAACCCCTAGCACCCTGTCCAGACAGCCCTATGAAGCCCCAGGGCCAGAACAGAGCATTCTTCTAGCTTTGATGGGATGGGACCTGGACCACTCTTTCTGGCCTTTCCAGGCAAGCTGTATCTGAGCTTTGCATCTTCCAGATGGAAGAGGCTCCCCTCCTCTCTACAGTTTTTGTGTTCATCTTGTGCCCACCCCTTCTTCCAGTGGCACTCCTGCCCCTTCTGGCACAGTCCCCACCCAGCAGCTGGGTTCCAAATCTGCATAGAATTGTCAGGAGCCGAGAGGGGCCTTGCAGATACTGGTGCCTCCCAGTGACAGAAGGGGGACCCACCTGCCCCCATAGTACTATTAGGTGGTCCTTCTGAGGGGACATCTGTCTTCTCTGCAGCCTGCCCACCCCTCAGCTCCCTTCTGTCACCAACCTTCCCTCATGGGCTCTCTTTGAGCAGTCTGGCTGCCCTGTTGGAGACAACTGAAGCTGGGTAGGGGATGGGACCTGCTTGTGATGAACTGGACCATTGTATTGCATAGGAAATTGCTTGAACTTTTCAAAGGCATGAACAATTAGTTTCTCAGAGCCCGTGTGTGCATTTTTATCTGGCAGCCAGGAGGACAGCAGAGATTTGAGTGTATCAGCTAAGAAAGCGGAATATGATGCCAAACTGCCAAGGTTTAGCTTCCTTTGTGGCCTTTTTGTTAGGTGCACAGGCTTAGGTAAGTTATCTCTTACCTAAGTTGCAAAATGAAGATAATGATATCTTTTTTTTTCTTTTTAAAAGCACCAAATTTTAATATCTAAGTCAATTTGGGGGTGGGGGGAGCAACACAAAAAGGAACTTCTCTTCAGAACAAACAATGATGTTCATTCCTCTGCATGTCCAATTTAAAGTCTACTGAAACCAAAACTAAAACCCAAACCTCACACAGAGAAGAAAAGATACTAAAATCACATTCTAGGGGGTCAGCGCATTCCACAGTCTCGGCTGGGCTAATTGTCCTTCGGCTGACTTTCAAAAATTAACACCCTAGCTCATCAAAATATACATCTTTCCCATTGGCTTTTTAAAATTAAAAATAATAATTAAAATAAAAACACTTGAAGGAATTCAGGACCAGTTGCCTGACTCAGTTGATGGCATATAGGGCATATGGAAGTCAGGAAGGCAGCTTGCAGCACACGACATTCAGGGGATGCTCATCTTTAAGGCTTAGCTTTCTTCCAAACAGTGTAAAATACCCACAATTCCAAGTATGAAGGGACACAGACAATCTCTTTTGAGAATTCCACAGGACAATACAGGCACCCCAGCTGTTCTTCATAGAGCGACAGGGCTTCAGTCAAATTGACACAGTTCCCCTGTGTGAAGTATTTCCCATCTTGTTTCAGAACTTTCATTGACAGGTCGAGAATCAGTCTGAGAAACTCCCATGTGGAATCTTCTTCTGGAGATGTAGAAATTGGGACAGCTGTCAAATCATTAATCACATAATCAAACTCTCTCCCTTCTTTGGCGTACCTCTTCAGTACTGGAATACAGTCTTCTATGAGAACCCGATAGCAGTCTCCTTTAAGATTGTCTAAGACATCTCCGCATGTTCTTCGCATGTATTTCTTACATCCATCAATTACCATTTGGTCAATCTCTACCATGGTGACCATCTTTGGTTTCAGTTTGACAGTTTCACATAATATGCCCCCATCTCCACCTCCCAGAATCAGTACATCTTTGCCAGTGTAATCTTCTTTGCCACTGCCCATGATGGCTCGGGTGTACGCCAAGTCACTCTCTGCCAAATTAACATCACCGCTGAGGATGAGAATATTTCCAAACTGTTTTGAGTGTAGAATCTTAATGTTCTGATAAGGTGAATCTTCGTCATACACCACTTCGTCTATGTCGTATTCAACCAGGCGCCCATCAGCAGTAGGCCAGTATCTGTCAATAGCCCCTCCTCGAACTATGGGTGGTAAACGCTTCGCCCGCACTGTACTGTCCGGACCCAGTTCTTTCATTTTTTCTTCTATTTTGTTCAAAAGGCTGTCAGTTTCTTGCTTGCCTTGTGCGTCGCTGTCGTAACTCTGAAGGTCCAGCAACACCAATCCATGGGGATAAATCCTCAAATTGGCAAAGCTGCCATTTTTGTTCGTGTAGGTTGCTAAATAGCCATGGTCCTGCCAGGTGTGCACTGACTCTGCCATCCCCTGCTCCTGAAAAATGGGCTGAAGGCCTCTCAGAATGGCCTCACCGTCAGCTTTGGCGCCGAGCGGGGCCGACCCGCCTCCTAGAGGCGGAAGCGGGGACGCCTCCAGCCCCGAACTTGGAGCGCTGGGTGTGAGGCCTCGCGCTAATTGTTGTAGACCAGGCTGGTCTCGAACTCACAGAGATCCGCCTGCCTCTGCCTCCCGAGTGCTGGGATTAAAGGCGTGCGCCACTAATGCCCGGCCAATGATATCTTTTTTAATTGCTAAGAAGACTACATACATTAATACATAAGCAAAACTACTGAGACACGACCAGCAGCTTTGGTAGTATTTTATGGCAAAAGGAGCACTTTAGTGGGTCAGGTGAATGGGAGACAGTGTAAGCACCCGTGGGTGGGTTAGGAACTTCCTCCATCCGGAGGCTCCAGTATAGAATCCAGCCTGGCACATTTGGAGACAGAATTTTTTTTTTTTTTTTTTTTGAGACAGAATTTCACTGTGTATCCCTGGCTTTTCTGAAACTCGCTGTAGGCTAGGCTTGAACTCATGGAGAGATACCTGCTTCTGCCTCCCCGAGTGCTGGGATTAAAGGTGTGAGCCACTATGCCTGGTAATACTGAGGGTTTGTTTGTTTGTTTTGTTTTTGTTTTGTTTGTTTTGTTTTCCTCTTACCGGCCCCTTGCTTAGATGGATAGCCAAGGTGGCTGACCTGGTGACACTGAGCATGTAGGGTCTACACTTTGGCTCTTTTTAACACCGATTTAACAAGCAGCTGCTGGGCCACCAGTGAATGGTAAAGAGTGCTAGGCCCTAGGGGGAAGCTGTGAACAAGGTGGGCACGGCTCCAGCTTTCAGAGAACTTAGCGTCTGGCTGGGGTAAAATGCAGTTACAGCAGGACTGCAGTCTCTTCTGGAATGGGAAGATGGTTGTCTACACTTGGGAACCAGGTTCTAAACAGCTTGGCAGTGTCCAGGGAAATGACAGCAAAACAGGGGTTTGAAGGATGATTGAAGGTCAGTGAGAGGTCAGTGAGGCAGAGTGCTCAGGAAGATTCTTGAGAGAGACCCAGAGGTAAGCATGGCCCCTTTTGGGTGAGCAGGAGCATCACCAATGAGAGGGTGGTACTGGTAAATCTGAGCCACACTTGGAATACGGCACAAACAGGACCCAGAGCAGAGACAGGGACAGGGTGGAATGGCTGGGGTAGGAAAAGGATTTGCCTGGAGCAAGGACTCGGCTTTTATTAGGTCGAGAAGAAAGAAGGGGTAGATAGATAGTATGGTTAGAGGAAGTGAGGGGAGGGCCTTCTGGTGGCTTCTGTTAATCAGTGCGGTAGACAAGGCAAGCTATTGGTGCTGAGCTTTGAGGAGAGTGGGAGTGGGGTGGGCAGGGCTGGGGCAGGGGTTGGGGGGAGTTGAAACTGCTGGACTGACAGGGCATCAGGAAGCTTTGGGGCCTAGCTGGGGCTAGGGCCCGGATGCACAGGTCACCAAGTGTCACCTCTGCCATGTGCTATGTGCGTCCTCAGGCAGGCCCCAGAAACTCTGAAGCCCACTCGGGGTGTTCACCAGGAGGCTACACAGCAGGCCAGCCTTGTTACCACAGCAACAGCCATGGAGGAGGCACCTGGGCCACACTTAATGAAGGAAAAAGTGTCCTGTGAGGGGAAAGGGCAGTCCCAGCCTTGCCTTGCTTTAGAGACACACTACAGGTATGTCTGGTTGCATTTCCATTTCCTCATCTTGAATGTGATGGGAGCTGAGAGGCTATTGTGTGAAAGTGCCATGCAAGTACATGGGATCCCTTGGTAGGAGATGGTAGCTGAAAAGGGTGCCCGTGAGGCATTTGGTTGGTAGACAGCAGCTGCTAGTTATTGTTGGGTAGTATGGAAGAGGAGCCATGGAAACACAAATCTGTGACAACCACAGCCATAAACCACTGCCACTGAGACTGGCCTTGGTGTTGGCAGTGGACTCTGGCCAAAGTCACAGGGTCACAGCTTCAAAAAAGGTTGGCCATGGTGTAACCAGGGCGTGGCATTGCTTCTGATGCCATCAGAGGGAAAGTGCAGAGGGCCTGGTACTCTTCTGCAAGGCCCAGGCTCTCTAAGGAAGAGGATAGAGGGAGTTCAAAATGTTCTTAAAAAAAAAAGACAAGCCAGGTGCCAGTGTCAGGCCTGGAGACTTTAATGTCCAGCTGATTGGAGTGGCTTTGTGACAGATGGACCCTGGCACTGATCAGGCTTTGTGAATGACATCAGAAGCTCTGCCAAATCCCGCTTCTTGCTGGAGAGAAGAAGGGCCCGTCCTGTCCATCTGTGGCCTCCTGCCTGGTTGAGGTGGTTCCTGACCACTGCTACCCAGTTCACGCAGCTTGCTATTGAGGGAGGGGAGGCTGCTGGGCTGGGCTAGCCCTTCTCCATTCCAGCACTTTCTGGCCATTGGTCATGGCAGTTCTAAGCTCATGTCATTCTGTGTAGGCCTCACACGTGGGAGGAAAAAGTATCTTCTGGGAGCCCTGACACTGGTTCAGGCTGCCCAAGGAGGACCTGAGGCTCAAGCCTCCCAGGGCATGGCCCTGCCCTCTGGGGATTCTTGCTTCAGTAGCTCTGTTGCCGCCACCTCTACTTCCTCTGGTTCCATCTGGCAGGCATCCGCCAGGGCCTGGCCTGTTGCCATGACGAAGTTAGCATCTGCTGCTAAGGAGTCTAGTCCTCCTCGAACCAGAGCCTGCGGGGAGGAGAGGAGGTTGGGTGGGTCTTCCAGGAGAATTGCCTTCTAGGTCCCTCCACTGTTGGTCCCACCCTCTCCGCATGACAGACAATCACAAAGGCCACCCCTTGGTGTGGCCTGCCCCCCAGTACCACCTCACCTCCTGGATCAGGAAGGCAGTAGCTGGAGCCGTGCACCTGTGAGATGAGTTCCTGGGAATGCTCTCCTCAAAGTTCCCGCTGTGGGGTGTTCCCAGAGACCTTGGCTTGGAGCCCTTAGTCTCCTCCTGGACAGGAGCCTCTGCCTGGAGGAGCTGTTCCAAACACATAAAATCAAAGATCCCCCCTAAACAGATATACTAGAGCCAACTGACACAGCGGAGCCACAGCTCATCCCAGGGAGTCTCAACCAAGACCCACAGACTGGGCAGGATGCAGGAGCACAGGATCCTTCTGTATGGAAGGATGGCTACCTACAAGGCCCTTCCCCTGCCAGAGCCCCACTCCTAGCACCTGACCAGGTGGGGTGTATATGGTAATTCCTCCCAGGCCTTTGCCTTTGATACCTGATGTGGGGAAGGAGGCACCAGGCCTCCAGGCACCTCTCTCTGGGTCATCAGTCCTTTCGGTTTGTCCACATGGGATTTGTTCTGAGGTCCTGTGGGCAAGGCCAGACAAGGTTAATGGGGCTGCTGACTACTGATGGCCACCTCATCAGAGCTTTTCTTGGCCAGCTTCAGAAGGTGGTTTAGAGTATAGACACATGTTGAAGCCTAACCAACTCCAGGTCAGGCAGAACTGGCCCAGCTACCCTTGCCCAGCGCTTTGTCCTTATGGTCTGGGAGAGGCTGAGGGCCAAACTCACCAGTAAGCACTTCTTCACTGTGGCTATGTGCATGCATGCTAACATGTGTTACAGAGCAAGGAAGTACCCTTATTGCTACTACACCCCAGAATTTTGGAGCCTTCCTCAGACTGGCAATGATGCTCCCACTCCCAGAGCTCAGCTAGCACTCATTATAAAGGCTCTAAGTGGCTCTCCCAGGCTCTAAGAAGTCACCATCAACTCCCACCCCAGGAGAAGGCCCAGCTTCTTAGTCACAGAAGAGACTGACCAGAGCCTCCGAAGGGCTGACTGAAGGGTTCTCTGGCAGCAGGTGTGTCTGCCTCTTCCAGGAATTCCCTTTCAAAGCAGACGCTAAAACAGAAGCAGAGCAGGTTGGAGCCCATTCAGTGAAGCACCAGTGTGCATCCCAGCAGACTCCAGTGGCCTTCATGCCAGGGCTGATTCTGCCAGCGCTTGACTTTGGGGGAGGAAGCCAAACTCATAGCTGCCTCCACTTTTGCTCAATGCTTCCCTGCCCTTCTCACATCTGCATTGCTTCAGTACTCTTAGGATGCTAGTTCTCAACCCTGACCACACATGGGCTCACCTGGCAAGACATGGAGACCATTGTCTGTGACCCACCATAGACACTGTCCATTCTGAAAGTTCCCCGATAGCTCTCATGGGCAATTGCAACCGAAACTTGTTCTGGATCAGCCCATGGTCATTGGTAACCACCTGTATTCCCAGTACACCTAATTGGCCCTCGTTGCTCCCAATCATACCACAGGGTGGGCTGTCACCCTGGGATGATGGTGTTAGGAGAAAGCAAGGGGATTGGAAGATGAAACTATAAGGCCAGAGGAGAATAGACCGAAAGGTAATATTGGAACATAGTCCCTGCCCACAGCAAGGTCTAAATTTGACAGATAGGGACAGGACACACCTAAGGACACACACCCCAACAACAGAGCCCAGGTTGGATGCTTCTGTGTCTCCACACCACCTAGCACCAAAGACACAGGTACCCCGTCAAGCATTCAGGGCCTCATTCAAGAGGCCTCTTTGGACTGGAGTGAAGTGTGAGCAGTCCTGAGCAGGGGAAGTAGCTGTTAAGTTGGCATCTTTCCTGCCCAGCCCAAAGAGACGGCACTCAGCTGGCCTGTCCAGAGCAGAAGCCCCACTGGGAACCCAGTCCCTGTGTTGTGATGGCTAAGGGACTCTGCTCCCATCTGATTATATTTTATGACACTTAAATCACAGCCTGGAATTAGTGAAATGGGAGCTACCCAAATCCAGCAACTGACCTCATCCAGAATTTCCTACAGTGTGTGCTGCTGCTGCTGCTGGAAGCCCTTTCTTAAACATTACTATGTGACCAAAATATTCTGCGCCTCCCTACTGAGAACCACAGAAGGGCTGGCTCAGGTTTGTTACCAAAGCTGACAAGAGGCTGCCCCCTGCTGGCAAAGACACCCTTCAGTCCAGGTTTGCCTCTTGTGTTAGGGGTGCAGAGCAGTCCCCAAGGGCACCCAGCAAACAAAGGACATTCTACAAATTTCATGGTGCCTCCTTCCCTCTCAAGAATATCAAAGAATTTGTACACCCACAGTTGGAAGCTAGCACTGTTACCTGGAAAACACCGGGCTGTTTCTATGGTTGCTGTTGCCATAGGCAACATTGGCATTGGCATTGTTGGTATTGGCACGAGCAAGAGGATGGGTGCCTGGGTTATGAGGGAAATCCTCCAAGAAGACGGGTGACTCCAGCTCTTCCATCTCTATCTCAGCAAATTGGAGGGGTCTTTGGTTGGCCATGACAGGGGGCAGGGAGTTGGTCCTTTCCAGGAAGTTGTCCACTTGACCAAACAAGCCTCCAGTCCTCTAGAAGCAAGGGGGAGAGTGGAAATCCTGGAAGCAGTGACAGGGCATGAGGATACAGACTGCATGGGGGTGAGGGGTGGGCTGTCACCCTGGGATGATGGTGTTAGGAGAAAGCAAGGAGATTGGAAGATGAAACTATAAGGCCAGAGGAGAATAGACCGAAAGGTAATATTGGAACATAGTCCCTGCCCACAGCAAGGTCTAAATTTGACAGATAGGGACAGGACACACCTAAGGAACCATGCAAGTAACACACACACATGGAAACATGGAACACTGAATTGGGAGTCTGCAGAACTGTGATCCAGCTCCCCTCTAATCAAATGATATGGGACATTGCCATCTCTTTGGGACACCATTCATAAAAACCCAATAGAGTTTAATGGGATGTCCAGGAAGAACCTTCAAGATTCAATAGGTGACAACTCTCCACAGAACTAAGAATAGGGGACTAGCCTGAGTGGAAACAGATCCTCAGGAGATAGAATTAGATGAGGATTTGTGGATAATGTAGGGAAGGGTGTATCATATTTAATACTTTGGGTTATAGATTCCGAGTCCCAGAAGATATGGGTGGCAAGGTGTAGGCGGTATCTTTGGCCCCTACAATCCGTGCAGCCTGGATTCTAGACCTTGTCTCTATTGCTACTTACTGTGTCCAGTCCCTCAGAACTGGGTCATGGCCCTCACTCACCCGGAATATCCCCTCCTCCATGGCAGCCTCCACCATGGCTCTCTCCAGTTCCTCCTCTGCTGTCAGGTCTCCTGAGATAGCACGGTGGATCTCAGGAGCTGCCTCTTCCTCTATGGTCCGTAATCCAGCCTAGAGAGGGTAAAGTGACAGGGTGGCCCTGCAGTCCAGGAGTGGAGACCAGAAACGCCTTCCCACTTGTTTTGAATACCTGCACCTACACTTTTCCTGAAGTTTGTCCCCATTCTGGATCAATATCGCAGGGCTCTGAGGCCCCCGTGGTCCTGCGCTGGTCTGGAGGAGACAGTTTGCATTTTGAAAAGTCTCTAAGGGGTTATCTGTAATCCTGTGGGCAGAGACTTTGTGCCCCTCCACCTGAGCCTCTCTTTAGTGGCATATGCTTTTTAGCCAATAAAACTTCATATCACAATTAAAGGCACATGAATATAAGTGTTACCTGATAATTTCACAGAGGACACAGCATCATGTCTGGGACATTCTTACTCAAAATGTACATTTTCTATCTAGTGTGAGGAAACATCAGGCCAACCCAACCAGAGGGACAGCATGGCTTGTGTCCTCAAAAGGGTCAAGACCACATTAAGGACAGAATGCCGAGTGATTCCCGAAAGCAAGTTGCCAAGGCAAGAAGGCGTGCATGCTGTGTTGGCTACTTTTCCCGTAAAGGAGATCACTGGGGCAGCAGGTAAAACTTGACCGAGGAGAGGGGTAGAGTGCAGGCCTGTTTCAACACTAACGGCCTGGTTTCCGTGGTCATATTGTGGCTATGTAGGAGAATAATGTAGGGCAATGTCACATTTTCTGGAAATTCACACAAAAGTATTTTGAACGGACAGAGTGCCATGTAGGATGTGAGTTATTCTCAAATGGCTCATATAAAAGTTGCAATTGTGTAAAGTATAAAGTTAGTTCAAAACCACAAGAGCAATTCAAATATGCCATTGAATGTATAGCCCAAATGTGTGTGCGTTTTATTTTTAAAGATTTATTTTAACTCTATGTGTATGGGTGTTTTGTCTGCATATTATATCTGTGCACATGTGTGTACAGTGCCTGAAGAGGCCAGAAGAGGGCATCAGATCTTCTGGAACTGGAGTTACAGGTGGTTGTTGACCGCCACATGGGTGCAGGGAACCGAACTGGGTCCTCTGTTGGAGCAGCAAGTGCTGTTAACCACCAGCCTTACATGTCTACTTTAGAATTTTTGAATCATGTGTATTACGATGTACACAGAAAAAGCAAAAAAGCAATCAAAAGCCCTATGAGATAAAACATACTCAGTGGAGCAGACCCCTGGGCAGGGGCAGGGCCTGCTCTTTTTCTTTTTCTTTTCTTTTCTTTTCTTTTCTTTCTTTCTCCCTCTGTCTCTGTCTCTGTCTCTGTCTCTCTCTCTCTGTCTCTCTCTCTTTCTTTCTTTTTTATTTGAGACAGGGTTTCTCTGTGCAGCTTTGGAGCCTGTCCTGGCACTCACTCTGTAGACCAGGCTGGTCTCGAACTCATACAGATCCTTCTACCTCTCCCTCCCAAGTGCTGGGATTAAAGGTGTGTGCCATTACCACTACCCAGTGAGACCTCTGCTCTTGCTGTAGGTCTTTCCTTTGAAGAAATCAAATTTTCTCTGGTCTAGTCACTCAGAGATGAGGAGCTCCTGGATCCTCTCCTGAGGCCTAAACACCTTCCATCATGGACCAACCTGAACTACCGTCTCATTCTGTTCATCCAGGGTTCTGTCTCTGACTGTGGATGAGGGACCCGGAGAAGGACTTGGTTCAGCAGGGACCCCCTTGGAACCCACCTAGGTTGGCCTCACCTGTATTTGAACTGTGTCCTTTTTAGGTCGATACCCATAATATTCCTCCTGGCGTTTCATGAACTTCCTGAAGTGTTCCTGGATGAGGAATGTGGCATAGAACTTCCCCACTGTCACCTCATCATCTGTAGACAGTCAAAAGGGAGATGGTGAAGGCCAGTGGGAGTCTCACTGGATTCGGAAAGGGAAACGGTGGGGCAGCAGGCCCAGGTGCTCAGTCCATCCTGCTGAGATGGTGAACGGGCTCCTTTCACCCTGAGTTGGTGCCCTGACAGATGCTCATGGCATCTGCCTACGGTATTAAAAGTGTCTAGATGTCAGATTGCTAAGGGACTTCCTGAGGAAGCTTCTCAACCTTTCCCAACCTAGACTCAGGTCTCCCCAAGCAGCACCCACCTCCTATTGGAGGGATGACTTGGTCCAGGAGTTTCATGCTGGTTCTCTTCCAGATTTTTTTGATGATGGCTCTCAGCTCCTCATTTGCTTGTTCGAAGTTGCCTGGGACATGAGAAAGGTACGAGTATCCCTAACGTGCCTGAATTGACAAAGCTTGGTGAGCTGCCATTTGTCCAGCACACACTGGCTCAGTGTTCTTTTGTGGCAGCTGCTATACTCTACCCTGGCAATGGGATGAGGGCAGGGGCAGCCCAACCCTTGGGTCCTGTACTTACTCCCCAGAAGTCTTGACTCACAATGACCAGACTGGTTAATTGTAGGCCATCATCTCCCCTTCTCTCTATTAAAATGTCAAGTCCTTACACACTCCAGTCTGTCCCATGGTCCCCAAGCAGTCCTCTTGCTGCTCTAACTTGCTCCTTCTTGAGTCTTGGCTTCCCTCTTCTTGTCTGCTCATGGCTGTCTCAGACTTCATTGGCCCAGATAGTGGTGTGGCCCCAAAGACACTGAAACCCTGCCTCAACCTCCCTTCTTCCCTTGCTCCCACTATGGTTAGTGGAGTCAAGTGTGTGTTCTCATACATGCCCAGTACTGAGTCCTACCCCTGTCCCACTCGGAGCCACTCAGGGGGACCCTAGCCCTTAGTGAGCACCGTCATGTCTCTGGCCCTGACACAGCTGAGAATACGGGACAGAACCTTAGTGATCTTGAAATGCAGAACATTCCCAGACTCCCTACAGGATCTACAGGGCACGAGGAGTTGGTGACTGTGCTCCTGTCCACATTCCTGGGAATCTGTGTCAGTATCTCAGAGAGAAAGGGGGCATGCACGAGAAGTCCCTCACCTTCCGTCTTGATCTTGAGTGCTGTGCGTACCAGGGCGAAGAGTGTGGCATTGAAGGTGACGGTGCCATCGCTGTTCAGGGGCATGTTCATGCCCACCAGCCTCTGTGCAGGGAGAGGTAGCACTTGCCGATGCCCTGGGACCAGGCCCAGCTCGTCAGGTTGCCCACACCTGGTGTGGGATGGGAAGGGAGGTTGATCTTCCTTCCCCAAGCCACAGCTGCTTAGCCTGGGAGGTTTGTTACCTTACATGCTACCCTGTGTGGGCAGAACTTCCCGAAGCCCAGAGGGGGTTGGATCCTCCTTAGCAGGGTCACCACATCCAGGTGCTTGATTCTGCCCCTGTGGGAGGACACATAGACTAGTATATCCAGGAATGTCACCACAGCACTCCTGCTCTCTACTCAGAGAGTGGAAAAGAGGGAAGGAAGCCAGGGGGCCAGGGAGGTTTCCTAGTTTTAAACCTGATTTAAGAGACCTAGTATATTATTTTAAGTATATTTTAATAATTCTTTGTAAATTGCATACACTGCATTTTGATCACATTCACCCCTTCCTGGGCCTCCCCCCACTCTTCTCAGATGCCCCCCAAAGCCTTTCAAAAGAAGAGGGGAGGTTTGGGTTCATGGGTGCCCACCACAGAATGGGGCTCTCAATGTGGAGCAGTTACACACTTTCTTTCAGGGAGTTATCCTCTAGCACAGGGGATCTGGATTTCATCTCCTTCATGCTGAGACCTTCCTTAGGTTTTGGTCAAGCTTCAAGGGGGGCTCTGGGGTTTATTAGTAAATCAAGGGAGTGGCAGCCCACTTCAGAGACTCCTCCAGAGCTGGGAACACAATGGCAGTGCAACCATGACCTCCGGAATAGACCCAAACAGAGCAACCGGGAAGGTCGGGTGACTATGTCACAGAGGAACAGGCAATGTTCAGGAGTGCTGTCCTAACAGCATTCATTTGGAATGTTTTATGGACTGACTGCCTCGTCCTCAGAGCCGGCTGTGAAAGAAATGAGACATTTCTGTCTTGTAGGAAGCTCATAGGTTCTGGTGCTCACAGATAAGCACCAAGAAAACCAGGAATGTTTTCCTTCTCAAGGAAGAAGATGTATGGCCTGTTTTTTTTTTTTTTTTGCCCAGAAGGCTGGGAATGGAGGTGGCTAATAGCCTAGGTAACCCTTGAGCTACCTGTAGGGTCAGGCCATACCGGGCTCCCCCAACCTCCACAACTAGGCCTGAAGGTGGCTAATAGTCTAGATGACCTTTGCACTGTCTGTATGGCCAGGGGGCTCCCCCAAATTCCTACAAGCAGGACCAGAGGTAGGCAATAACCTAGGTAACCTCTGCACTACCTATATGACCTACACAGATGCTCCCTAGGCTCTTAAGATAACACTCACAGCCTGTCTATAGAACCCATCTTTGTGGAAGAAGTGGCATGTACTTTGAAAAGAGTTTCTGATGTAATTATGCCTCCCAGTGCACATGGGATTATGTTACACTAGGAAACGTCCCCCTCCTCACCAAATTGTACTGTATTTAAATATGGCTAAAATAAACTGCCTGTGTCAGACTCTAAAATTAGAACAATACCAGCTACTGAGTTGTGTTGAACTGGATTTCCTTTTTGTGTCACATAGATTATTACTCTACTGTCTGGCGTTTGCAGAGACCCCCACACTATCTGTACCCTAGATGCTGAGTATACACGCAGACAAGCACACACACAAGCACACACACACACACACACACACACACACACACACACACACACACTGATATTGGTAACTGGCACTTGGGATTGAGGCCAGGGTCTCTTACATGACAGGCCAGTGTCTATCACCGAGCCATGTCTCAGCTCCTAGGCCCAGGTTAGTATTGTGGGGTAGTATTAATAAAGCAAGTAGATTTAAAAAAAAATGTGTGTGTGTGTGTGTGTGTGTGTGTGTGTGTGTGTGTGTGTGTGTGTCTGTCTGTCTGTCTGTCTGTCTGTCTGGTGTGTGTGTGTGTATCTGTCTGTCTGTGTGAATACTATGTGTGTACAGATACCCATGGAGGTCAGAAGAGGGTGACTGATCTCTTGGAGCTAGAGTAGTTGTGGTCATTTGACATAAGTGCTGGGAATCAAACTTGGGTCCTCTGGAAGAGCAGCTAGTGCTCCTAAACACTGAGCCATCTCTCCAGCCTCCTCTCCCCCTGCCACTAGTTTTTAAAGGTGTGAGCCAACACCGCCCAGCTATGCCACTAGTTTTTAATGTTCCCATTGGAAACGTTTTAGAGTGCAGTTGCCAAGGACTCTGGACAGATTTGCCTTGAGTTTTGGTGCCACCACTTAATTTCTCTGCACCTCAATTTGCTCATTTGTGAGACTACAGTGACCAGAGGACCTGTGCCTTACGTTGCTGGAAGGATCAGATGAGCCAATACATGTAGCATTTAAACCTGATAACTGGGAAACATTTAGCAAATGTGATCTTACTTGCCCCCTCCCCAAGTTTTAAAGTGTAGGCAGGTGGCTTGAACACCAGGCTAATGGCAGTGAAGACTCTAATTCAGACAGTGTGAGTGGGGCCTGGGCATTGTAATCAATCTCCAATAGAGCCAGTGAGCAGAGCCCACAGTGAGCAGCCAGGCCTGGAGTGCCTGATGAGGTACTGAGAGCCCACTCCTCACCCCCTAGTTCTAAGTGTCTGACTAGAAGCTTGGTTAAATGCTTCCTCAAAGTCAGGGTGTTTTTCTTCTGAGGGATCCCCTCCAACTCTGAGACATGCTGATTCCCCCATGGAGCCTTGGGTGGGTTAGGGGAGAACAGAGAGACTCCCGAGGGAACACTAGGATGGAAGGGCAGGGAGGTTGGTAAGACCCCAGCACTGCACACAAAGACTCACTTAGCCTCCGGGTCGTACTCGGCCCAGATGGCCTTGAACTCATCCAGGTGGTGAGGGCCCAGAATGGACCAGTCCCTGGTGAGGTAGTCAAAGTTGTCCATGATGACAGCCACAAAGAGGTTGATGATCTGCAAAAGGACAAGGGCTCCCATAGCACAGGCAGGTGATATAGTGACTGGTGTCGCGTTGGAGGGCAGGGGCAGACTAGGAATGGGGCTCCTTCCTCATTCTAGCCCCCAGCACACTCCACAGTCCACATGCAAGTGAGGCTGAGCCTCTGCTCTTGCCCAGAATGTGCTCTGCCAGGGGACTGGTGACCATTCACTAAAACCAAGGTAGGGCACCTCTTTGGGGGCTAGTCTCATTTCTGAGAGCTATTCTGCCTCTTCTGGACCTGGCCCATGCCTCTCTCATCCAGCCAGTCTTTTCCTGTCTACATTGAGCATCCTTTGAATTGCCAGGCTTGCTCACACACAGACTCACTTTATCAGGGCCAGGGCTAGGTCTTGTTCATGTTTCTACTCCTCACCTGGCCCTGTGCCTGGTAAACACTAGACACTCAAAGGTTTGGGGTGAATACAGGGAAGAAAAAGGAGCACTAGTATGAGGCAGGCAAGTGGATGTCAAACCCAAGTGACAGCCCTGCCACCCCCAAGTGACTTCATGTTGTCTCTGACTCTAACAGGGACCTCTTATTTCCAGAGTTGTCTTGTAACACAGCATCTTTCTGTGCGGAGGAATAGTTAGGGTTAAATGTCTCTGCTGGAAGCCCCTACCTACTGAGAAACGGACTCATCACAGCCCTCTTGATTGCAAACTATGTATGTAGTGTGTATAGTATATATAGTAAGCACACTACACACACAGTGAAAACGTCTTGCAGTCGGCTTGGAGCAAGGAAGAAGATCTCACAAAACAAAGATACCCCAAAGGATCAGAGCAAAGGACAGCCTAACAAGAGTTTCCAGTGTCCCTGGAAACCACCTCACTCCACCTCACCCCTCAAGCCCTGCCCTGGCCGGTGCCTGCAGACTTCTTTCTCACCAGGAAGGCGCAGAGCATGTAGAAGCTGATGAAGTAGTAGTAGGCGAAGTTGGTGCCGCATGTATACTCTTCCCCCGGGGCATAGTCCGACTCTGGGTCACACAGCTTTCCGTAGCTACAGGCCAGCAGGATCTCTTGCCAGGCTTCTCCTGTGGCACACCTGAACAGAGGAGAGACACTGTTGATCTATACATGTCGGCTTGGTCCTTGGAAACATCAGCCAGGAGACATGAACAGAACTGGGCTGTTTCCCAGAGCTAGGATCCCCATAATCTTGGTCACAGTGTGCCCTCTTCACTGCGGCTCCTCTGCTCCACCTGAAAGGTTCAGGCATTATGCTGGCCTGCCCCTGTTACCTGGTGGAATCCACTCAGGCAATACCCTGGTCAGCCCAAGGTTCCATGGGAAAGAAGTCTGCACGCAGGTGCAGAGGACCCCTTTAAAAGATAGGCCCCTGCCCCTTTACGCTCTCTCTCCTCCCCCCCCTCTCTCTGTTCTCTCGTCTCTCTGTTTCCCGCTCTGTCTCTCTATGGCGACCGGCCATGGCGGTCAGCCATTACCCTGTTCCTCTTCTTAGTCTCCCCATTCTGCCGGCCCTTATAATAAACTTATAGTCAATATGTCTGTCTCAATATTTCTCTTTTCTTCTTTTTAAACAAAACAATAACACCACCTTTACACAGATCTAGAGTAGAAAAGACCTTTCTTGGAGTAGGGGTGGCTTTTACATATGGCTACGTCCACAACAAAAGTGTGTGTTATAGATCGATGTCAAAGGTCACTGAGACCTCATCACTTTTCTAGAGGGACATTTGACCTCTGAACTCTGCTTCAGAGTGGCGAAATAGGCAGCATTCCACTCAGGAGGAATTCAGTGCCACACATCAATGCAAGGTTTTCATCACAGTGACAACAGGGACCCCTGTAGTGCAGGGCCTGTGTGGGGCCAGTGCTGCCTGGAGGGCAGAGGGGAACCCAGCAAAGCTGGGGACTCGTGCCTGAAGAGCAGCAGCACAGCTTGAGGGAAAGTCTGGAAGTTGTTGTTCCGGTTTATTTGCGTCCCGTCCACCATGGCTATCTTCCCGAACATCTGCGAAGCACAGAGAACCAGGGCACAAGCGTCTCTTCAGCTCCCACCACTTCTGCTTCCCCCTGCTTCCTACCCTCAGCCTTATTTCTCCCCAGTGCTTTTACTTCAGGCCATGTCAGATCTGAAGCCAGATACACTGGATTCTTTTCTGGGTCAAAGCAGGGGCGGTGGAGGGGGGAGGGGGTTAGACAATTTCTCTCAGCAAGCACTAAGTTAGTCAAGATATGGAAAGAGGTTCTGGGGCAAGGCCTCCAGCTAAGCTTTAGAGACCAGATCTGGTCTCAGAGGTGCACCAAGTGCTAGAGCTCTCCTAAGCTACACTCGGGCTCATAACGCCAGAGCATCTGGGGATCAGTTCTACCTCCAAGGAGCTGCCCCCTTGGCTTCTGGGATATGGGAGGCAGGGAAAGGTCAGCTGCATGTTTGGTAGGCCTTTTTGGGTCCATGGATACACCCTCTAGCTTGGCTAACACTCATCCTTTGGCCTGGGCCCGCCTGCCTCTCACCTGCATGCCAATGACCGCATAGATGAAGAAGAGCATGACAATGAGCAAAGCCACGTATGGCAGAGCCTGTGAGGAAGAGAATGGAGCATCAGCTAAGTATTTCATTTGCCTGCTCTGTGGTCCACAGAACCACAGCCCTGGGTCCTGCAGCCTGTCCTCCCTTGGCTCACCAGGGACCCGCCTGGCTCAGGAACCCTGGGACCCCACCTTGGGCTAGCAGCATCCCTGGGTCAGTTTCCTGGATCCCTGGTCTTGGCCTGTTGGGCTGGGCACTCGCACCTGGAAGGACTTGATGAATGTCCACAGCAGGGTACGCACACCCTCTGCCCGACTCAGCAGCTTGATCAGTCTCATGACCCGGAACAGGCGAAAGAAGGCACTGGAGATGCGGGCGCTCTCATCTGGGTCCTGTGGGGCAGCAGCCCCAGAGGTCAGTCTGGGGGTGGCACTCGGGGGTAAGGGGCAGGGCAGGCAGGAAATGCAGTGCACGCACGCATGTGGTTTTTTTTTTGTGTGTGTGTGTATGTGAGTGTGTGTGTGAGTATGTGTGTGTGAGAGAGTGTGTGTGTATGTGAGTGTGAGTGTGTATATGTGAGCGTGTATATGAGTGTGAGTGTGTGTGAGAGAGTGTGTGTGAGAGTGTGTGAGAATGTGTGTATGTGAGTGTGAGTGTGAGTGTGTGTGAGAGTGAGTGAGTGTGTGTATGTGTGTATGTGTGTGTGAGTGTGTGTATGTAAGTGTGAGTGTGTGTATGAGTGTGAGTGTGTGAGTGTGTGTGTGTGTAAGGGTGTGTGTGTGAGTGTGTATATGAGTGTGAGTGTGTGTGAGGGTGTGTGTGAGAGAGTGTGTGAGTGTGTGTATATGAGTGTGAGTGTGTGAGAGAGTGAGTGTGTGTATGTATGAGTGTGTGTGTGTGAGTGTGTGTGTGTGAGAGAGAGTGAGTGTGTGTGTGAGTGTGTGTGAGTGTGTGTATGAGTGTGAGTGTGTGAGAGAGTGTGTGTGTGTGTAAGGGTGTGTGTGTGAGTGTGAGTGTGTGAGAGAGTGTGTGTGTGTAAGGGTGTGTGTGTGAGTGTGTATATGAGTGTGAGTGTGTGTGTGAGCGTGTGAGTGTGTGAGGGTGTGTGTGAGAGAGTGTGTGTGAGTGTGTGTATATGAGTGTGAGTGTGTGTGAGAGAGAGTGAGTGTGTGTATGTATGAGTGTGTGTGTGTGAGTGTGTGTGTGTGTGTGTGTGTGTGTGTGTGTATGTATGTATGTAAGTGAGTGTGTGTGTGTGTCATATCCATAGTGGGAGGGTTCCAGCCCCACTTCACAGACCCTATTGTCTCATAGCCTTGAACCATCCTGGGATGCAGGGCTCTGGGGCCATGTGTCTCAAAAGGGTTGGATGTAGGATCCAAGCTATGCAGTAAGCCGGTGCTTGGGAGCAGAGCAGGGATTCTTTATGGGAGGAGGCTGCAGGGGGGCCCACTGCTGGCTTCCTGTTTATCTCTCCTTCTCTGTAAACCAGCACTAAGCTAAGGATCTGGTGGCCCATAATGTCTTCCAGAAGTGTCCAATAGCTATACCAAGCTGTTTGCCATAGACTCAGTGTGGTCATTCCCACTTGCGCCACCCTACTCTTGAGCATTGTAAGTTGGGCAAGCTCCTGCCTTTGTGCCAGCCTTAGTCCTGTTCCCTGGGTGCCAGTTTGGGCCTTGTTCCCTATGCCTACTAGACTGTCACGGAGGTCCTGTGCTCTCATCTATAGAGAAGGGATGTGGAAAACCCTCAGTTCACTGGTCAGGGCTCAAGGTAGCTACCACATCCATGCGTATTCTACCACACAGCCCCCACCACTGCCCAAACCCCAACTCTCACTGGGCCTGCTCTAGGGAAAAGAACCCTGGTTTCTGCGGGCACCCCATGCGATCCATGCAGCCAGCTCAGCATGCAAGCTGCAGGGCAGGGAGAACAGGCTCATGCGGCCTGAAATTACAACGTTCCCGCAGCCTCCACCCAGGCAATACAGTCCCCCGCTGGAGGCCAGGAAAGTCTGTGGAGAAAAGAGACGAGGGGAGGGAAGGAAAGGGGAGAGAAACACATGGGGGGGAGGTGAAGAGAGTTGTCAGAAAGGACAGACACAAGGAGAGTTAAAAGAGAGAAAAAGACAGGCAGGGGATGGAGACCTCACGTGGCTGCAGTCGGGGCAGTGAGTGGGTGGGAGCCAGGACGAAGCTCTATGGGAACCATGAGGCAAGAGGCCTGGGCAAGGGAATACGAGGGGAGGGGAGACTGGAAAGACAGGTCCCATCTCATCTCTGAGATTCATCTATGGGTGACAAGGGCTTGGGTTCTTCTTGGGTCTGGGTTACATGGTGCAGGGAACACCCTTGCTAAGGACATACTGGGAAACACCTGTTCACAGGTATAAGTAGGTTCCCCCATCCCCTGTAACCAGGGTTGATGCCCTCACAGGGGTCCAGCTTCCAGGGGCAAAGTGGATGGGATTGGGGGAGACTGGAGACCCCTCCTCCTAACAGGTGTCCCTCAACTCAGGACTGGGACCAGGATCTCAGTGGCCTGGCGCCTCAATGATTGGGCATATGGGAGTGGCTATATTTTCCATGACCACATTTTATGAGATGCCCATCTTAAGAGCCTGAGTTAATAAATGAAGTAATCCCCGAGCTTCCATGTGCCTGCAGGTAGATTGGTCCTAGCACCCAGACTCCCTGCATCACTGGCCTCAATCCTGGCTGCATGAGGATTCATCTAGAGAATTATAATAGATATATGCCACTGCCAGGGCCAACCGGGACAACAAAGCCAGTGACTATGGAACAGGCCTGGTTTCAGAGGTTTCAGGGCACACCAGGAGAGTCTCATGGATAGTTGGATGACAACTCTGTTCTTTACTTGTATAGTCTGGCCAGTAGCCACTCACCATGCATGGCCATTTGAATTATAATGAAAATCAAACAAAACTAGAAACTAGCTTAATGCCACCAGCTACATTTTATTTGTTTATTTTTATTTTTTTTCAAGACAGGGTTTTTCTGTATGGCTTTGGAGGTTATCCTGGAACTCGCTCTGTAGACCAGGGTGGCCTCGAACTCACAGAGATCCACCTGCCCCTGCCTCCCGAGTGCTGGGATTAAAGGCATGTGCCATCACTGCCTGGCCATCAGTTACATTTTAAATGACCAGGAGGTGCATGTGAACAGGGCAGGTGAGGCTGGTACCGCAGTTATGACTGACAGGCCAGTCCCTTCCCTCGTTTGTATGCCAGGAATGTAAATCAGTCTTAACAGGACTCAAACACATATTCCTGGTCAGGGAAATCTCCCACTTCCAAAAACGAAGTATGACCATGACACCCCCACAGCCAAGAGAACGGTCTCCAGCACATGGGCCTTAGACTTTGAGAAGTAACTACTTGAATTGGGGCATTCTAAGTTCTCTCTTCAGGCTGCTTGTGACAAGTGTGGCTCTCAGACCACAGAACATTTGTTTTCCTGGCAAACAGCATGCATGAAAACACACAGCACATGTGCACTACACATTATTTGCTCTCTCTCTCTCTCTCTCTCTCTCTCTCTCTCTCTCTCTCTCTCTCTCTCTCTCTCTCACATTTTTCT